ATGACGTCATTGCAGGGCATGTGACGTCATGTGATAAAATTATATTTTAGGAATTATTCTAAGCATTTGAACAACCTTTAACTGCATGAAGCACTCTGACAAGTGACTGCAAAAGGACCAACGATACATACACATTTGTAAAATGCGAAAGCCCTGTGTTCTGTTTGCAAACAGACATGGTGACTTTTTTTTTATTTCATCTTTTTATTTTTAATATGACGTCACGTGACATGTGACGTCATATTAAAATTGCATATTTTGAAGGCCAATATCTACAGAACCACTGGTCCGATTGGGTTGAAAGTTGGTATGTACCTAGACCGGGATGTGTTATAGATGAAACTTGAAGTGACATCATGATGACGTCATAATGGAATATGTGACGTCTCGTTAGACATGTTAGAGATTAATAGATTTGATCTTTAAATATCAATATAAAAATCAACCGTGAGAGACCTGAACATGATTTTCGTGGGATACAAACTGTATGATAGAATTATCGAGGGTCTTCATTTTTTATATTATGTGCAAAATCACATGACCCTTTCTTCCGGTTGAAACAGGAAGTGCCTTGTAATTTAAAATTGGTGAAAAATGTGAACTTGCATCAACGATGTATGCTCTGGCGAAGTTGTTCTTTACCATAATATTATAGTTTTAGATGAAACTTGATGTGACGTCATCATGACGTCATCATGTGACATGTGACGTCATAATTCATAGCCCTATGAGAATGTAATCACATATTATATGCCACCATTTATTATAAACAGAACTACACACCCTTCCTTGATGGAACATATACTTGAAACTTTACATGTCACAAGTCACAAAAAATTACAGAAACAGCCCTGTGTTTGTCCACAAACATAAATCTAGTTTGAATTATAACTTTCTCAAAAGAATGGACCACCGTTATCATACTTTTGTAATGTGGCAGGCATTGCCTCAGGCGATGTCTTGGATTCCCGTGTACAAAGCCATTTGTCAATTACTTACGGTGCTACTGGAAGTGCACTGAGAAGTGAATATAACATAAAACCGGAAGGATTTTACAACAATTAAACAAATAATGGAAATGTTAAGTGAGGAATGCCCAATACAAACAAGACAGGTGTGTTAACAAACACAAATGCCCCGCAACCGTGACTGTTTCCATGACATAACACTACTCTTTTAACATCAACTTATGTACCTTGGTCACATGGAACGTTCATTGACAGCATTAGTGTCTTCTGTAGGTTTTATATGAATTAATCCCTAATCCCTATGATCTCAGAATAAATACAAGATTTCTATTGTTTTAGTCACTGTGACCTTGACCCTTGACCCTTTGGCCCCAAATGCAATAGGCTTCTTAGGATTGCCAAGGACAATCCACAAACCAAATTTGAAGTTCATATGTAAAGTATATCTCAAGTTATCACGCTGACAAAATGTCTTTTGTTTTAGCCACTGTGACCTTGACCCTTGACCGTTTGGCCCCAAATGCAATAGGCATCTTAGGATTGCCAAGGACAATCCACAAACCAAATTTGAAGTTCATATGTAAAGTATTTCTCAAGTTATCGCGCTGACAAAATTTCTATTGTTTCAGCCACTGTGACCTTGACCCTTGACATTTCGGAACCTTGACCTTTCGGCCCCAAATGCAATAGGCTTCTTAGGATTACCAAGAACAATACACAAACCAAATTTGAAGTTCATATGCTAAGCATTTCTCAAGTTATCGCGCTGACAAGATTTGTCCGGACACACACCCACCCACCCACGGAAGGACAAGGCGGAAACAGTATGCCCCTTCGGCTTCGCCGCGGGGCATAAAAACGGTGGCATGGCGATGTCATCGCCTGAAAGGGCACCCCCTAGCACGTCCAAGAAAGTTAGACTATTTTTAATTTAAAAACCATCCATCCAAATTTTACCAAACTTACCCTTAGATATTATATAGAAAAACGTAATGACTTTGTGAGGTTTTAGGATCGTGACGTCAGCAAACTGGACATTATACTATAATTAGAAAATGATCTCTTATTTTTCAAATCAAATTCATATCATTGTATGAATTCGTATCAAGTGACAACTTGTTTGTGGAACAAATAATGGCACAAATAATGTAATCAGCTACATTGATACATTCGTGTATTTCGTATATTCATGTAGTTTTTATATTCAACTGCAATTTCTCCCAATACCATATCCAAGTGCTAACGCATTATTTAAGAAGTTACATAATTTCTCAAAAAAAAAACCAACATTATTCCCTCCTTTTCAGTCATTAAGACATTACTCCCCCAAGTCCCAACATCCATCTAACATAAATCCAACAGTACACACTGCAAGGAATGGACGTATATATTCTGTACACATTTTCATGTTTATATGCCTATATATACATGTATATATGTTAAACATATTAGAAGAGCACTTTCAAGAAATCCATCATTGGGCCGCCCCTTATCCCCTCTCTCCCCTTGTGATCCCCATAGTGTTTATAATACATGTACAATTAGGAAATGCCGCCATTGTAAGTATACAGGGTGAGTGAAAAAAAAGAAAACCCAAATGGCGGGACCATTTTCTTAATAACGTTTTGCATGTAGTACTTTCAAAATCTAGGATATGAAAGCCGATTCTTAAGCTTTCTTTTAGTACAAGAATCATTCAAATCACTCATATGTACTTTTCAAGTTACGGAATTTTAAACACAACCACTGTTTTAAAGTTCTGTCCACGTATCACAAAAAATGGTGTGTGTTCTTTCAGCAAAACGAAAACAATTCCAGCGCATCCCCCTATATGTGAATTGTTTTCGTTTTGCTGACGGAACTTTTAAGACGGTGTTTGTGTTTAAAATTCTGTAACTTGAAAAGTACTTAAGTGATCTGAATGATTCTTGTACTAAAACAAAGCTTATAAATTGGGCTTTCATATCTTGATTTTGATAGTGCTACCGGTACATGCAGAACTTCATTAAAAAAATTGTCCTGCCATTTGGGTTTCCTTTTTTTGACTCACTGTGTGTAAGTTACTTGTAGACAATCATACCAATTTAGATATGATTTTTTTTTATAGCCGCCTACTTTAAAATGTAGCTCCACCCCTAATGGGCAACAATTAGTCTTGCAACTGTTTAAACTTATCTTTACAGTGTATGGTAAACATAGTTAACTGATGGAAAAGTTGTGTTTTTACCAGCAAAAATGATGATTTTCCCTCGTTTGAATCAAGCTGCTCTAATGTACCGCCTCTTTACACATTTAGGCCATGCCCGCAAAAGGGTGAAAATAACACGTGTTAGAATGTTAGAATTTACATCCACTTTGTTTCAAAGCATGAGAAACAAAGTGGATGTACACGTAAAATACAGTTTTCTGAGTTTTCTTTTTTTGCACTCCCCTTTTTGAAAAATCAAGCTCCGCCCCCAAATGGGCAAGATCCAAGATGCGTTTACCTCTAAAAATTATGTTCAGCCCATTTCAATTGGACATGCCAATTTTTAGAATATTACCACCAAACTGAATGATGTTTTCTATATTAGAACCAAACTGCTAATATATACCGCCTCTTTTACCATTTAGACCACGCCCACAAAATGGGTGGAAAATAACAGGTGTTAGAATGCTAGAATGTCTTATTTCATGTTTAAGTTTATTTTTTAAGCGTAAAAAACCAAGGAAATTTGATGTTAAATACAGTTTTCATGAGTGTGTATTGTTTGCACCCCCTTTTTTGAAAAATCAAGCTCCGCCCCCAAAATGGGCAAGATCCAGGATGGGTCCTGATCTTAAAATGATTTTTAGCCCATTTTGACCCCACATGCCAAATTTCATGCTTTTACCACAAAGTGCACGATTTTTCACTTAGCAGCTCCACGAGAGTGCCTAAACTTAAAGAAAGTCATGTTAACTCATGTCAACTTTAGAATTAGCTCTTCACTGACAACATTTTACAGCTAGTGTTTTTTTTTTCATCAGCTCTCAGGCAGAACTGAGTCCTGAAGGGAAAACCAATTATTAAAACTTTCCCTGAAGTAGAATTCCACCGAAAGTCAAGAAAACTTGAACCAGTGTTGAAGTCCAGGTACTTATGATTGATCACAAATACATCATGAGTCCAGTCACATGTAAATCACATGTCAATTCACAACTCTACTAACAAGTAACTGTAAGTAAGATTTGAGGCTTTGCATGGTGGAGGACCCGGTTGGGTTTGTAGCCGTTCTGTGTACCCTAGGTCCTCTGCTATCACCTCAGACTGATGGGTCTCCTATACCCTACCGGTAGGTCCTCCCTCTACTGAAACTGCAACCCTACTGTTCCACTTCACGTGGGAACACCAAGCTCTAGGCTCCCAGCTACTTGGCATCCCCACAGGATCAACTTCACACTTCATAAATTTCGCATTTGGTACTTATGTGTTTATTTTCTTTGAGTTTTGGCACTCTCCTGAAGACGGTCAGAGCATACTAATAATAATAATAATTGTGCTTATGTAGCGCTTTCCATCGTATCAACGATCTCAAAGCACTTTACAATTATTACCCCGTTCATCAAGCCATGGGACCACGCGGCAGCCGAAATGAGCACTCAATCAGTCCTCGACCCTCACAGGTACCCATTTATACTCCTGGGTGGAGAGAGGCAATTGTAGTTAAGTGTCTTACCCAAGGGCACAAACACCATGTTCCTGGTACGGTTTGAATCCACGCACCTTCGTACATGAGTCAAACACTGTAACCACTGGACCATGGCATTCTACACTGTACCATGGCATTCTACTAACCGGAACGTAGAGTTTATACCTCTGGTTCTTTAAAGAACCATTCTCTTAGTTTGAGAAATTATCCCACATGGTATTTCCACAAACCTTTCATTCATTAACATTCATTGAATAGGTTGTGAGTTGACTTGGGACAGGATGTCTTGTTATGGGCTTGTCATGGACTTGTGATCCATCCATCAAAAGTACCTCGACTACGACACTTGACTAGAACTCACCTCGATTTGGCCAACCCCTCCACGTCTGTCCCAAAAAACACCATGTAGAGGTTGCGGATACCAACTAGATGCTCATAGGCAGTCTGTAGTAGCTGGCCACGACTAGGTCCGGTGTGGATCAGACTAGGAGCTGTTGATGGCTCGGTAGCGGTCATGCTGAGACGATCTGCCAAGTCAGCTGCAATGGGGTCGCCGATTCTGCCTTCGCTGCATCAAATGTTTATTGAAGAATTTATATAATTTGTTAGCAACAGCAAAAGATTGTGCATTAAGTGAAAGTTTGTGTCGATATCATGTGATGTTAAATCTTTCTTTTGGGCTTCACAACCAGTTCATACTTAGCACATAAATTGGATCATGCTTGCAAAAATTTAGACATCATGGATAGCATTTGCGGTGTGACTTTGCAAAAGTCGAACACATTACGCTCCAGCAAATTTTCCCACAACTACGTGATGTCAAATTCTCTTTGCATAATTCGACTGAGGTATTGTGTGGACTGAAGTTTCTGCATAGCTCTCGGAAATATATAATTATGTATACTGAAAATTCCAAATTCTGCACCGTCTGCTCTAATTGTAATCAAGAACAAGACATACTGTTGTAAATACTGAGTTCAGGGATTTATTAGTGAGCTCTGACAGTTTTTGCAGGATATTTGCAGGAAACAAGTACAGTAAATTAACCCCAAAAAAATTAATTTAAAAGTAGGGGACATTGCTGGAGGGCTCAATCTCTCCTCATCTTCTCAGAAAACTTACAATATTTCTTTTAATGTCACATGGTGCTATTTCAAAATTCAAATGTTTGCTGACCTCACCAATGAAACTTACAAGTGAAAATTCCCAAATAGGAGTGGACAGGATTATTTCAGACGGTAAAAATACCTATACATTTGCACACCAGTTTTCATCAGCTGCTATGTGTTACCATTCAGCACTCCAGACTCAAGAACCATTGAGTTTCAAAAGAATGGGTCTGGGAGCTAGATAAGACATTTAAAAAAAAAAAAATTCTGGATGTGCGCCCCCGCCTATACGCCACCTCCAACTAAGAAAAATGTCCAATGGTTTTCATTGCAAACTTCTACTCATTTCTCACCTCAACATACAACTTGAAAAATCAAATCAAAAGGTAAAACTGGACTTACGCGATGAAATCTGTGTTGAACAGGACACTGGACATGAGATCATGGACGTAGTACTCGTCCCCAGGTTGTAGGCGAGCAAAGAGTGACAAAGCTGCACTGTGGTAGAGGATGCTGTATTGATGGCAGCTCTCAGCTTGCTGTGCCTGCAAGAATAAAAATAAAGACAATGACATCAATAATAGGAGTTAAAAGTGTACATGTACATATCAAACAAATAGGTGCTCTGGCCCTACATGTACTTCATTATTATAACCCTGCTCATCAGGCCCATGAGAACATTCCAAAGACCATCTCATCTCCCTGCAAAGTATACAGCTTGTTGCTGCAATTGAGGCACAAAAGCAGTTAAATTCATTACAGTAACTATCTCTGCCCTCACAGGTAGGCAATTTCTCCAGGATGGGAAGAAGTAACAAGTGACTACGTTCCTCGTCCAAAGATGCAAGCACTGGTACAATAATATTGACAAGATTTTAGATTTTTTAAACGACAGATAGAATCTGGGGTGAGATTAGGGAGAAATCTCCAAAATAATCGGCAGTGTGTTTTAGGGCTGCTGAGGGCCCAAGAGCAACATAGGGTTTATGGTCCATCTACATGTATATATGTTTGTATTTGCCTGATGACACCCCTTAACCCTGAAAGGGCCGGGGGGGGGGGGGGGGGGGGAATCATCCGCCCCCCCCCTCGACTTTTTCCGCGTTAGCGACCCGAGCTGTTATGACTTTTTAGCCTTTAGCCTTGCGCATGTTTTGATACCAAAAATATAAAAATTGGACCAAAGGTTGCCGTGCAGCGAAAAATTTTCCGGCACTATGCGCCGTGAAAACTGAATTTTCCCATATACGTCATAGAGCAGAATTGCTATTCGTACATATGAATAATTAGCCATTATTCCAGAACCCTTTGACCTATAGTCATGAAATTTTTTGGGTATGTTCATGATGAGTTGCTCTATCCATGTACCAAGTTTCAAATGTTTTTGTCACTCGATGGCTGAGATCTTGGTGGCCGCCCCCCCCCCCTCCCCCGGCTGAATGATGGTCAAAATAACCCAGCCCTTTTAGGGTTAAAATACCTACATCTTCTGTTCTATATAAACCTTTACAAGTACAAGGACTTTTATGGTAACTTCTCACCAATTCCAGATTTCAAAGGAATTGTTTTTTTACTTCATGAAAACAGGATAAATCCTGACAAATCTCACCCATGCAGATTTGAACTCATTGACTTGCAAGCAGCAATGTGCCAAGACATCAAGCTGATGGATTGGTTTGTCACTTCCAGCATGCCACTATTTCATTAGAAAAAGACATCTGAGAGTGTATGCAACCTTAATTTCAACTTATTGTGCACAAAACTTATACCTGGCACCACATATCAATACCTGAGAAATGGCGCGCATTAGTGACATTTATTCACATCAATGATTTAATTTAATGCACTTAGAGATATTTCGAAAATCCATTTTGCATTACCTTGAAATTTAGATAAATTTTGAGATATCTTGAATTTGATTTGAAGATGTCTTCAAATGGATTTCAAGATATCTAGAAATGGACATCTAGATTTCTAGATTTCTTGAGAGCATTTTAAATCAGACTTTTCTGGGCATAAGGTCAAAAATGAGATTTTTGCATGTTGTTAAAATATGTTCTTTAGGTGCTTTAATTTTTGAAACCGGTTATTCCTGGGCAGAGTTATGCTATTTTGAAGTTCATTGTGCCGAAAGGTAGAAAATGGAGAAAATGACGGGCCACGAACGTCACAAAATAGTAATTTCTTTCACTGATATACCTTAACAAATCATCAAAAATACTATATTTAGAGTTTATTTTAGGGTTTCGAACTTTTATAGTATAATTAAGACATGTTCAGGATTACAAATATGCAAAAATTTGAAAATTTAAAAAATCACCCCCACAGGGTTTTTTGGCCCTATCTCAATTTCAACCTCTGCCAAGAAGCGTCTTCTTTTGACAGAACAGGTCACAAATGTCACTCATATGCACCCAGTCGCGTAGCCACGGGGGGGCGTGGGGGGGGGGGTCGACCGCCCCCCCCATGAAACCTTGTCGCCCCCCCAGTCGCCCCCCCCCCCCCTCCCCACTGAGATTTTGAGTAAAATTATCATTGATCTACATGACGCCATGGGCGTCAATCCTGGGGGGGACAGGGGACATGTCCCCCCCCCCCCCACTTTTTGAATGGGGGGGGACACAATATAAAATGTTCCCCCCCCCCCAGATTTTTGAACTCGTGTCTCATTTACAAGGCCCTATTATGTACTACAATGTATCTTTTGCTTAGAAAATATTGGTTAAGGTGGTCAGAAATTGCCTCAGATAGCACCACAGAGCATTTAGAATCCAAAATTTTTCGGGGCCCTTAAGCGGGCCCCGAACCCCACGCCTAAAGCTCAGAATTCTGGTAGCTGATTTAATGACTCCAACCTCGAAAACAATGTTCAAAAATTTTTCTTATGCCTTTAGCTGAGAAAACCTCGAAAATTATGTTTAAATTATTATCTTTTGTGCTAAGATAATTATTGGTTAAAGTGGTAAGAAATTGCCTCAGATCACACCACAGAGCAGCGAGAATCCAATTTTTTTCGGGGCCCTTAAGCGGGCCCCGAACCCCACGCCTATAGCTTAGAATACCGATAGCTGATTCAATGACTCCAACCTCGAAAACGATGTTCAAATAATTATCTTTTGCTAAGAAAATATTAGTTAAAGCATGGAGGAAAGTGGTAAGAAATTGCTTCAGATCACACCACAGAACATCTAGAATCAATTTTTTTAGGGGCCCTTAAGCGGGCCCCGAACCCCACGCCGTAAGGGCTTCGCGCTCGCATCAGTTCAGATCAAGGTATGTCCGCCCCCCCCCCCCCACTTTTGAAAAGCGATTGACGCCCCTGCATGACGCCCCCCCATGAAATGTTCCAGCCCCCCCAGCGCCCCCCCACTGAAAAATTCCTGGCTACGCCACTGCCCCTCTGGCCTAATTGTCCTCCACCCTGAATGGGTCAAACAAACACAGGGTCCCCCAGGCCCTCAATATCGCACCCGTTGGCAATTATGCGGTTTTATGCCCCTCACAATGGCCTCATGCCCAGCCGGTACAGCTGCTATTTCAGTAACTATAACGCACCCAGCAAACGACTGTCCTTTACCTCCTGAATACACTTCTTCTTTCCATTCACATGCAACCTTATATTTGTTCCAATGTGGTAGGTCTTAAATATTGGCAGGACATCCGTTTGTTCATCAAATTCAAACTTTTTTGAAATTCACTAATTGCCTTCTCGTTAATCAGTATTAAGTTCGGACTTGCTGCTGCGGCCCTCGTAGTCTTGAAATCAAGTCTGTAATTGGCCAGGTTTAGTCCGTCTTTTCAGGGTGATCGTCTTTGGATGAAATGTTCCCTTTTCGGATAATTGAACGTTGAGTTGTGGGTAATTTTAATAATTTTCGGAAGAAGGCGTAATAATTATCACTGAGGCAGTGGCGTAGCCAGGAATTTTTCAGTGGGGGGGGGGCGCTTGGGGGGCTGGAACATTTCATGGGGGGCGTCAAGCAGGGGCGTCAATCGCTTCTCAAAAGTGGGGGGGGGGGACATACCTTGATCATAACTGATGCAAGCGCGAAGCCCTTACGGCGTGGGGTTCGGGGCCCGCTTAAGGGCCCCGAAAAAAATTGGATTCTAGATGTTCTGTGGTGTGATTTGAAGCAATTTCTTACGACTTTCCTCCATGCTTTCACTAATATTTTCTTGGCAAAATATAATTATTTGAACATCGTTTTCGAGGTTGGAGACATTGAATCAGCTATTGGTATTCTGAGCCGGTGTGGGGTTTGGGGCCCGCTTAAGGGCCCCGAAAAATTTTGGATTCTAAATGCTCTGTGGTGCTATCTGAGGCAATTTCTGACCACTTTAACCAATATTTTCTAAGCAAAAGATACATTGTAGTACATAATAGGATTTTCGATGCTCTGTGGTGTGATCTGAGGCAATTTCTTACCACTTTAACCAATAATTATCTTAGCACAAAAGATAATAATTTAAACATAATTTTTCGAGGTTTCCTCAGCTAAAGGCATAAGAAAATTTTTTGAACATTGTTTTCGAGGTTGGAGTCATTGAATCAGCTACCAGAATTCTGAGCTACAGGCGTGGGGTTCGGGGCCCGTTTAAGAGTTTTTTTAGAAACTCAAAATCTCAGTGGGGGGGCGACTGGGGGAGCGACAAGGTTTCATGGGGGGGCGGTCGCCCCCCCCCCCCCCCCCCACGGCCCCCCGGTGGCTACGCTACTGCACTGAGGTCTATGGGAGTCGATTTGGAGGTCTGCACCCCGAAGCCCAGTATACTTGTTTAAAAATGTATTATTTGCAAACACTTAGCATTTATTTGCATTAGTATACACTGACACATGGTACTTGATCTTGCACTTTGTACTGTTTATTTAGTTCACATGCTTATAAATTAAATTTCATGTGCAATTATGTTTTCGCAAGCTAGCTATCATCGAGAAAATGGACATGTTGTTTGGTTCATCTCCTATCGTGTAACGTCACCTGTTGTCACGTTGAAACAGACACCACGTAGACCCTGTGCGTGCAAGCCGTGTGGTACACACAGAGGATTCAGCATTGCATGCATGGTAATCGACACCGGACGTAATCACGTTGGTAAGCATAATGATGTAAACGGTTGATATTTTAAAATGTCAGGTATCGACTATGATATATGCACGTGGTTTCTTGATGACGATTCGCGACACATTACTGTAATTTATGTCATAAATTTTATGCTTTATTGTATTTTGTACCAGGCAAGACGTCATGCGAGGGACCACGTTAGCCTGAATACTTAATAATCGTAGGCCTACATTCTAAACAAAGTAGGCCTATAAGATATAAGAAATAACGTGTGAATGAACCAATGACTGAAATCATAATTATTGGGATCTTTCGGATTAGGATTGCTTAAACGGAACAGGCTGATCGCTGACCAATGTGAATGCTTGGGGGGAAAAAACACAGCGGAAAACCCTTGCATCGTAAAAAATGATCAGGTCAGACAAGGCTTTTGAGAAGTAAAATGTCGCTTAGGTCCGAGTCCACACGTTTTTCCTATGGACTTTCTAAATCTTTATTTTACAACTTGTATCGAAATTCCACCGACAGATTTATAAACCCACACTTATGGGTTTTCCTGAGCGCGACCATGCAGTGATATCAGTGATTTGATATGATCAGATGCATATACCATTATTAACCCTGCGAGGTCATGACTGGTGAAGCCCTTTGGTCATTTCATCTCCTTAATAGACTTGATAAACGGTCGTGTTTGTTTGTCTGTTGAATGCTGCCGATAGTGACAGCGTTGTATATTAACCACCTTCGGCTTATCTATTAACTCTGATTTACGCGGATATTCACATCTTCTTTTAACGCACGACCATTGCGCTGCTGGCAGGAAGAAAATGACGGCCAATGTTGCCGTCTAAATGATAACTAGGTGTTTGAGACAAGAACTGTAGTAAACGCCAGAACTTCTTGCTCGAAGCTACTCTGGCTTCTTAAAATGTCTCTGCACAGTAAAATCTCATTTTGAATTTCTAAGCAAAATGAGATCTCTCTTCAGCAATCACTGATTAGTTACTAGAACAAATATAAACCAAATATTTATTGACAGCTAGACTCCAGATATTTTGGGAATTTCAGTCACTTTTGTTGTTGTGAATCTCACTGCAGGCGAATTGAAAATGGCCGCGGTAGACCACATCTATAAGATTTTGTTCTTCATGCAGTCAGCTGCCATCATCGCATTCATTATAAGTAAGTATACAGTGGTTGAGTCTCGATAGTCCGAAGTCCCATTGGTCCGAAGTCCCATTGGTCCAATGTCCCATTGGTCCGATGAAACATAATACTGTGTAGTTTCACTGGTTCAGGTTGACTGACTCTCACCCTAACCCTAACCTATAACCCTTACCATAATCCTATGGGGCGTCGGACCAATGGGCATTCGGACTAATGGGGCGTCGGACCAATGGGACTTCGGACTAATGGGACTTCGGACCAATGGGACGTTTATAGCAATGGAACGTATAAAGCAATGGGACTTCGGAACAATGGGACTTCGGACCAATGGTACTTCGGACTATAGAGACGTCCCCGTATACAGTATGGTCTTGCTCTCTATAGATTTCTTCCTGCCTCCTGCATTGCGTGCAGGACCGCGAAGTACGTTATTAAAATAATGTTTTAACGAAAACAGCAATTGTTCATTCCACTGTAACTGTCTTTCATAAACAGAAGACGTTGATTTCTTTGCAGATGTCATCAACTTCGTGTAAATGTTTGTTTACAAGTTTGAAAAACGGGCTCTGGACAAATTGCATAGATATCCGTGGAGAAGATCGTTACCCCATCCACCAGTCGAACCTGATTAGGGCCCCATTCCTTCTATATCCACATTATGATACTTCTTTTCCATTTTAATCTTGTAGATTCCTCCCAAAATTCCGATGTTATTCCCAAACCTCGCGGTTGCAAGTGCCAACAAAACGACCCGAGTAAATTGCACGGCGAAGAAGCAACGGGATGGATGCCTGGGCGCGTGAACGAAACACGTGGACCTCTGTCCAACTGCAGCTTAGCTGACGTCAAGAATAGGTCTGGTGTCGTCATGTTGACTACAACCAACCTTGGCTTCATGGATATGACTCTCAACATGCTGGAAAGTATCAAACGAACGAAAGTCTGTGTGAATACTACCGTCATTGCAGAAGACCAGAAATGTTACCGGCATCTGAGCGAGAGAGCCGAGGGTGACCCAGCAGTGCATGTGGTGTTGACTAACTCAGGAGAATCCACTAGCAAGGAGATACTACGCACTAAACGCCGCTCGTACTACGCACTCTTCAATAAGCGTCAGGCGTACGTTCTGTCTTTACTGGAGAAAGGCTTGGAAGTTCTTTTCACCGACGCCGACACGTTTTGGTTCCGAGATCCATTTCCGCACTTCAAAGGAGACTTCGACATGTCTATGATCGATCCGAGATCTCCTTATCCGACTCGAACTGACAAAGCACATTATTGCGCTGGCTTTGCTTATTTCAAACCAACAAACGTGTCGGTTTTATTCGTGAAAGCTTGGATTAAAGCCATGAAAGACAACGAGAAAGCAAAAAAACTGGTTGCAGATCAAAGCGTGATGAACTATCTTCTTCACAATGATGAACCCGTTCATGTCAACGTTCAACCGCTCGACACCAACATTTTCCCCTGGGGGCCAAAGTTTTACGAACTCTTGGCAAAGAAGGCCAATTACTCGACTGTGGTGATGCACGCCGCCAGTATCCGCGGACACGCTGCGAAGGTCAAGAAATTTAAAAGTTCCAACATGTGGTTAGTAGACACTATTGAAGTAGACACTATTGAAGTGTCTCAAGATGCGACCAGTCGACCGATTAATAATTAACTGGTCCCTCGATAAGCTTACTTTGCCAAGGTAAAGAAATTTAAAAGTTCCAACACGTGGTTGATAAACAAAATGGTATAGACGAAATAATCAGTCAGTAGTGATACCATGTCTTAATGCTGTGCCGGAATTTTCAGTACAGAGATTTTGCCAAAAGCAATAACTTGTAGCTTCATTAGTGCTGTTAAAGACGCAGTAAGTTAACATTTGAATCGTCTTCACCAAGGTCTGAAGGTCTGTCAGATGTAATTTTTGATGAAAAGACTACTAACATTAAACATTGAAAGACGAAAGGAACATGTAAAAAATAAATTAGGAATGTCTCTCCACGACACAAGTTGTGCAGAAGAGTCCACTTATAGTTGAACAACATGATCCTGGACCTGGTTGATTCACTCGTCACATTGCCGCCGTCATTTATATACGTTGACTTCTTTATTTGTTGAGGTTTTCCGGTTTTAAAAATTTTATTTACATATAGTAATTGGAATGTATGTACAGTACATTTGAAATATTTTCTCAAACCTTTTTTTTTAAATTAATTTTGTTTGATATAGGTTTTCCTGTTTATTTAAAAACTTGTATCACACGAATTCCCTATGTCGATACTTTAATTTCGTCCCCGAACATCGCAAAGCTAAAATTCTCAATTTGAATTTTAAAAAGCCAGCACTAGATTTCATTTAAGGTTCAGTATGATTCAAATTTTTAACATACCTAAGTTCGTCCTAAATTTGTGAAATTCGTCTCCTGTAGCCATCGGCGTTGAATAGAAAAAGCAAATTCGTTTTTTGATCATTCGTTTTAATGTTGTTGTCATTACATTTCGTTTCTGGTGACTTAAAGTTACGATTAGAAAATGTGCCGACTCTTATTTGAAGAATTATTTGGAAAATTGTTCGCATCAATAAACTTATAATTTCCTTATATGTATAAATTTATTATATATTATTACCTGTAAGTTTTGAATCTGCTTTTCTGTGTTTCACAATTAACATTAGAATCAGTAATAGATCTTTCCCAATATGCTCTTTACTTATGACATGGAAATTGAGCATCAAAATAAAACACCTTCGTAACAGTACTCTTTGATAGACCTAACTTCTGTGGTTTAATTCATCAAATAGCAAAATAACGAAGGTTTTTGATCTTAATGCTTAATTTCCATAAGTAAAGAGCACATTGTGAAAGGTCTATTCTAATGATAATTGTGAATGACACAGAAAAGACTTCAAAACTTACTGCTAACTACTTTTATTGATGGGACCGTTGGCCTATAAGGAAATTAAAATTGTATTAATCACATGATTTTTCAAATAAGTCCAAATTATGGGCACAATTTCTAATTGTAACCAGAAGTCACCAGAAACGAAATGTAATGATAACATCTTTAGAACGAATGAACAAAAAAGGACTTTGCTTTTTCTATTTTCCGATGGCTACAGGAGACGAATTTCACCAATTTGGGACGAATCGGTATGTTACAAATTTGAATTATACTAAACCTTAAATGAAATCTAGTGCTGGCTTTTTGAAATTCAAAATGAGTATTGAGCTTGGCGATGTTTGGAGACGAAATTAAAGTGTCGAAATAGGCAATTCGTGTGATACAAGTGTTAAAATAACCGGGAAAACCTATATAAAACATTCGATCTTAAATTAACAACTTGATCATGTCATGTTAGACAAAACTGTAACGAAGACATTTTGGCGTCCCGAGAGAAATAACAAAAATCTAGAATATAATATGAAAGAAGTATCATCTGGCAAGCACTCATGGCCGAGTTCGGGCGGGTCTGGTTCTTGAAATGGATATATCATTCTTGCAAACCCTGACGGATAGGTGGTGTGAGATTGTTCCGAGTGCAGTGTTCGTGGGTCGTGCTCCCGTCGCCGGTCGAGCACCGGCGGAGAACAATACGAATACTCGCGTCAAGAAAAAGGGCGCCCGAACTCGTACGGCCATTGTGTGCGAAAAAGGTTTCGGACTATGTCAAGAGGGCGATGTTTCTCATGTTTTTATTCTCATGTAGAATTTTCGGACCAAAGTTTTTTCGATAGCGTACATCATAATCTACATGTCTGTAAAGTTGTATACAATTCGGCGGACCAGACCGCGTGGCGAGCAAAAAAAGGACCTCGTACGTCCCACTGACTATAAGCTAATCGAACGCACCCATAATCCGACGTTCGTATTGTGCGGCTTGATCTGCACACGTACATGTACGTTAACGTCTGATCCGTGTAATGTCAAATTTACGTAACTGCGCTTCGAAACTGATGACCAGTTTTCCAAATTTAATTAAATAATTACAGGTGTACATATATAAATGAAATTAAAATAATTTTAAAATGCATAATTATAATCATTGTCATAATGATAGCTATAGCGCACTTCGTATGATAATGATATTCCCGTCAACGTGTGTTAGAGGTGCACTAGTACAGAAAGTAATGCAACGCACCCATAATCCGACGTTCGTATTGTGCGGCTTGATCTGCACACGTACATGTACGTTAACGTCTGATCCGTGTAATGTCAAATTTACGTAACTGCGCTTCGAAACTGATGACCAGTTTTCCAAATTTAATTAAATAATTACAGGTGTACATATATAAATGAAATTAAAATAATTTTAAAATGCATAATTATAATCATTGTCATAATGATAGCTATAGCGCACTTCGTATGATAATGATATTCCCGTCAACGTGTGTTAGAGGTGCACTAGTACAGACAGTAATGCAATGCAATAGCTGCCCGCAATTTTGCGTATCACACTATCACTATCATTGACGTGCAGGAACAGCCTTCAAGGTCAAACGGTTCCGATTGTCAAACCACAACCAGGTCCGGTGTCACGGTCTCACTTCTCCGGCATGCTAGCTTCTCCGGGTGGATTCGGCAGATAATTGAGCACGTTACAGTGCACGTTACATGAGCACGATTCAGGCCCATGTGTCCACTGTGCTTACTTTTCCTCGGGCTGTGTTCTGAAGTCTACCAAGCCCATTAATAACACAGTGAGGGACACCCAAGAATGTGTTATGTAACACTTCCTGTGGGTCAAGTCATTCCATGGTCTTGCAAGCATTCTGATTTGTGTTCCCAGCGTCATGCATGTGTGTGTGTGTTCATGGAGGAATAATTAAGAACGAACTCCTTGGTCCGTGTTCCTTGCTCGTTCGTGGTCCATTTTGTCTTTATTATTGCAACCATGGCTTAAAATAAATGTGCATTTCAAGTCTTTTTTTGTTATTGGGAGTTAATAGTGCGTGCCACGAAAATTCTGGATTGGACTGCAGTGGCGTAGCCACCGGGGGGCGTGGGGGGCGACCGCCCCCCAATGAAACCTTGTCGCCCCCCCCCAGTCGCCCCCCCCCCCCCCCCACTGAAATTTTGAGTTTCTAAAAAAAATTATCATTGATCTACATGACGCCATGGGCGTCAATCCTGGGGGGGACAGGGGACATGTCCCCCCCCCCCCACACTTATTGAAGGGTGGGGGACACAATATCAAATGTTCCCCCCCCTCCAGATTTTTGAACTCGTGTCTCATTTACAGGGCCGTATTACATGTATGTACTACAATGTATCTTTTGCTTAGAAAATATTGGTTAAAGTGGTCAGAAATTGCCTCAGTTAGCACCACAGAGCATTTAGAATCCAACATTTTGGTAGCTGATTCAACCTCGAAAACAATGTTCAAAACATTTTCTTATGCCTTTAGCTGAGAAAACCTCGAAAATTATGTTTAAATTATTATCTTTTGTGCTAAGATAATTATGGGTTAAAGTGGTAAAAAATTGCCTCAGATCACACCACAGAGCATCGAGAATCCATTTTTTTGGGGGGCCCTTAAGCGGGTCCCGAACCCCACGCCTATAGCTTAGAATACCGATAGCTGATTCAATGACTCCAACCTCGAAAACGATGTTCAAATAATTATCTTTTGCTAAGAAAATATTAGTTAAAGCATGGAGGAAAGTGGTAAGAAATTGCTTCAGATCACACCACAGAACATCTAGAATCAATTTTTTCCGGGGCCCTTAAGCGGGCCCCGAACCCCACGCCGTAAGGGCTTCGAGCTCACATCAGTTCTGATCAAGGTATGACCGCCCCCACCGCCCCCCCCCCCCCACTTTTGAGAAGCGATTGACGCCCCTGCATGACGCCCCCCCATGAAATGTTCCAGTCCCCCCAGCCCCCCCTCACTGAAAAATTCCTGGCTACGCCACTGTATGCACCATACATGCACCTGAACAATGTCACCTTTTGTACATTGTTCCAGCTGTGCAACACTTCAGTTTTGATTTCAGATTTGATTCTTATACCTCACTACCTCACCTCCAGCACCAAATCAACTTAATTTGTCCTTACCACACTATGATAGAGTCTCAGGAGGTAGTACAAAGCCTGATGCTCAAATCTGGCAAAACTGCATGCGAGGTGGGTGGAGGGCTTCTGAGTGTTCTTACAGATCCTCTTCAGATATGCCGTCACGTAGGTGTTCTCAACAATTGGACAAAACTGCAGAGATACAATGAAATTGAATAGTTAAAGGCATATAGTATCATTTCCTTTTCATGCATTTTGTTCGTTTTTGATAATAACACCGTTCAAAATAGAAAAAAAAGAATGTTCAAAACCTAACCTGTTAAACTTTCAGCTTGGTGAATATAACAGTTTTTGAGAAAAAAACCAGTGAAATACCATGAACAACCTTTTGATCACGAAACACGATTTCATTATAAAACTCTTCATTTCCAGTGATCAGTCACTGGAAGAAAAGTAACATTGAAGGTGGTTTCAAAACAGGGTGTCAGCGGCTTCACCTTGTGGAATGGAACACTCCTTCTGTCACTTACATTATCATAATTAATTGCCGAAAGCTTCAGCACTAATGCCAATTCTGAACCTAAACAGATTCTGGTCTAGGCCATCTTAAAATTACCTTCTTAGCAACACCCTTGTGAATCTTCAGTAGCGTGTGGACCAATCTAAGAAGTCCGATGGCTAGACCACACGACGAGTCTTTCCTCACGGACGGGTAGTTCCTATCTTGGTTATGGGGGTCGCAACCAAACTCCGGCAATGACGGTGCAGATAGGGACATCTCCTCTTCTTTGAACCGCAGTGTGGACTGAAGTCTAAATAAAATTATAAAATTTGCAATAAGGGAATAATACTGTGGTGTCTACTTTTATCACTGGTTGGGGGCTTGGTTGCCGATAATGGCCCTAGCCTTCCGCATTTTTAAACCAGACGTTCACGTTTTTAACCAGTTCACATTGGATGACGTGTATACAAGCAAAAGTTTTGCGGTATTTGGAACAGATGACGGATAAACACGCAACGAGCGAGGCCGGAAATGTGTCTGCGACCCGCTCGCAGTGAGCGAGGCCGGAAATATCAGGGTGTGCTACCTGCAGATGATGGCCTGAACCCATCTGGCATCGAGGTTCGTTAAAAACAATCCCGTGCTTGGGTCCGGTCAATGTCAAAATAATGCCGACGCAAACTGGTTAAAGCTGCTCTACCACACTACTCTTCCCAGCCATAAATACCTTTTTTGGTAAAAAAATTAAATTAAAGTCCAAAAATTGACAAAATTTTGACGATGTTTTGTAAAACAATTTTACTCAATGTTCAGGCCATGTCTATGGTGCGTGTCAACCGCATGTGGTTTGCTCAACATTTCGTTCTCCTTATTATGTATGGACATCATATCAGTGGTCCTCAAGCATCCGGTTGTAGTACCGTAGGTGCGCGCGGCGTGTACTGTGCGCGCGGCGTGTACTGCGCGCATGTGGCGCGGACTGGTTTGGAACGCTGCTGACCAGCATTTAAACGGTGGTTTAAAAACACTCAAGTGACAGGCTCTTGACCAGGTTGGCGTAGCAGTACTTTCCTCGCCTTCCACCGCTGTGACCCGGGTTCGAATCCCGCCCGGGCCAATATGTGGATTGGGTTTTCAGTCCCTACCTGATTCCGTGGGTTTTCCTCAGAATATTCCTCTGGGCTTTTCCTCCCACCTCTAAAACTGTAATTTCTTCTCATTGTCTTCTCTCTACAGGTTTCTTCAGGCTTCTGGGCTACAGTGCCTAAGGCACTTTTGAGGGACCCTTGGTTTCATTACCAGAAAGAAATAAAATAAATAAATAAAATAAATAAATAAAAATAACAATTGGTAAACTTCCTTAGGTATTTAAGAATTTGTTTTAAAACACTAGTTATGTTGCCATTGACACAATACAGGGTGAATCAAAGGATATATCTTCTGTTAGGGTTGAATCTCTCTTTAAAATGACACCCTGGTCATGTCATTACATTAACAATTGACTGAGCAGTGATCAATTTTATGAAAGGGTCTATTTAGAGACGTACGCCACTTTTCATGGTGAAATCTCTTTTTGTGTCAATTGTCACAGAGTGAAAGGCTATGGTTGCCAATCAAGGCAGGTGGGAATTGATTGATTCACATGTGCCCTACTTCTGTTCCAATTAGCAATAATATCTCAGTTTCGTGTTTGTTTTATCCACCCTGTACACACTGTTTTATGAGTGGCATATTAAACAGACGCACTACATTTCCCTTGTTCTATGGGCACAAGAGGGATAATAAATTTATCTTCAAGAAAAACTGACGCACAGTCAAGATGCAATGCACACCCTGTACACAATTTTTTTCAGCGGTTATCCTATTGCATGTGCCTGCAGTAAGAATAGTGCATGTATCATATAATTGTGCGATACGCAGGGTGATATATGGGATATCACACTGTTGTTGACCAATCAGGATTCAAGTATGCTTAAAAGATAATTCATATAGAATGAATTCACTTATGGCTTTTGCATACACTTACTTGAGGTTGACCATGACATTGAAGAAGGTCGCCGACGTCATGAAGGGCACTAGTGTACAGTCAACCAACTTCTCAATGTTGTGCAAACACTCAATTGGCCGGTAACACGCCTGTCATGGAGTAAATAGGCAAGACACAGTTCACAATTTTGTACACATCTGTGATGGGACATGGGGTTTTTACACTTACAATATGAATATTCGAAACATGTATTGCCTCTTCATGGCAAAATGACATTTAATAATACAAAATATATTAACCCTACTGCTGTCTGAACAGTCACAGACAGTCAAAAAATCAATCCTTTTCCCTGCCATGTCTTTTTTACAGGCTAGTCACCCACAGTCAGATCATATTTCAAGCAAGCACTGTGACTAGTCAAATTCAGTCAACAGGCAAAAGCAGGCAAGTGGTAGGCACAGCTGACTTATTTATAACCTGCAGTCAAAGCATAGCTGTATGAAGTTACATAAACTGCCAGTCAATCCTGCTTTATTTACATGTAGGCTGGGAGCTCCTAACTGTTAAAAACAATCACTTGATTGATTTTGACTAAAAAGACAAGTTTGTACAGAATGTATGTTTGCATAGGAGGGTTAAAGGCATAATAAAGAATAGAGGCTAGTAGAGGTGGCAAACCCAAAAGCCTGTATGGCTAATGAGGAACATGTGATGGTCCACGAATACTTGAGGGTGTAAAAACCACATCATAGCATGTAAATTTCCCTCATCACAGCAGTCAATAATTCAAGTCGAGTAAATGATATCACAGATTTAATAAACTTATTGAATGTAATCTTTCTAGACCAATGAAATTACAGCATCCACGATACACTATAACAATGATGATTAATAACCACAGAAAGTGAGCGTCATCTAGAAAAAAAAAGGAACTTTTAACAATGACCCTAAGTAGTTGCCAAAACTAAAGAGGAAATACTTGTCAGTACAATTTCCAAAATCGAACATGAACAGTTTTGAATGGGTAAACAAAAGAAAACAAGTTGAAATTTATTGGGGAAAGGTCAAAAGTGTTGATACTTGGCAATGAATCTAACTTTGATAGGAGTTGTAATCAAGTTTTCACAAGTCACCATACCGGTAAGTCCATCGTAAGCAATCAAGACTCAAGTCAAGCTACAAGCTTTTCAAATAAGATTTGAAGGTTTGCATGGTAAGAATTAAGAGCAAGTAGGTGATTGCACCTTGTGATGAGAAATCTTCTTTGCGAGCATGTCGTCGTGTCCCTGCAACAAGGTCATATCTCCTAAAATGGGCCTGACTTGAAATGCGAGTTTCAGCATGCCAAGAGGTCGTATCTCACTAAAAATGACCCGGATGTACACACAAAGTCAATGGATGTCGAGATATGACTTTGCTGCAGAATGGAGTTATGACCTTGTTGCACTGACGCGACGATGTGTAGTTCCAGAAAGGAAATGGTGGAAACTCAACGTTTTGGACAGTATGCTCCGACAGTATGCTCTGCCCATCATCTGGAGACTGCACTTTTCAAATGAACTGTATAACAAAGGCATTCTTTTGTCATTGCTCATCCCCTGTTACTTGTGTCTGATGTACGATTTGACATGTGATTGACTTAATTCAACCCTTCCCTTCTTAATCAATATCCATTTACTTACCTGCTGTGTGTATCTGGCATAGAAGGATGCTAGGAGGTTGAGCAGACAGGAGACCATGTCCATGACCTCGGCGTCCAGGCTCCGGGTAGTGTCTGTCATCTCACCCAGCCACCTCATACAACAAAATTCAAGAGGCGCCTCGAGGCCGCTGACGTGGCTCCAGTTGATGCTTGGGGGTGCTGCTTGAGGTCCAGATGCGGTTGCCTGCGTCTTGTCATTACTGGGAATACATTGTAATGTATAGTGTCAGGTGACTTGAGAATGCAGTGGTAGGAATATTGTGAAGTGAGGTATTTTAATTTAAGCAACCTCACAACAATGTGAGGCTGGGTGTTAAGCTGATGACGTTTTCAAGTATATATGGACTCGGTGCCTATATCGATCTGCTTGTTGTCATTACTATGGGAATAATGTATGATGTCAGGTGACTTGACCAATGAACATGTAATGGAGGAGTGTTGTGAGGTGAAGTATTTTAAGCTACCTCGCAACAATATGAGGCTGGGTGCTAATTTGAGGTTTTCACATACACCTCTTCTGTGAATACAGATGAGGTCACCTCCATCTTGTCACTACCGTCAGACCAACTACAGTTGAGGTGACTTGAGCATGCAATTGAAGGTGCTGCGAGAGGTGAGCATTTCAATCAACCTCATGACAATGTGAGGCTAAGTGTTAAGTTGATGAGGTTTACAAGCATACAGTCTGCATTCCTACAGACAAGGTGTCTCTTGTCTTGTCATTACTATGGGGAATAATGAACAGTGTGAGGTGACTTGAGTATTTTTAGTAGTAGGAGTGCTGTGAGGTGAGGTACGTTAAGAAACTTCATGACAATGTAAGGCTAGGCAGAACCTGGTGCTTTGCTAATAATGGAAATTAAAACTCTGGAAATAATGTACAGCGTGAGCCAATGTGAGCATACACTGGTAAGTGATATGCGAGGTGATGCATTTTAATTATCTTCATGACAATGTGAGGCTAGGCCTAGCCTGGTGCTTGGCTGTTCGAGTTTACAAATGTATGTGGACTGCATGTACATGTATATAGATAAGGTTGGCTGTGTCTTTTTGTCATTACTGTGGAAATAAGGTAAAACTTGAGGTGACTTGAGCATGAAGTGGAACATGCTAGCAAGATGAGGCATTTTAATCACTGCCTTTACAATGCGAGGTTTGGTGCTCAGCTGATGGGGTTACAAGTATATGGACTCTTGTATATATCAAAGGTCCTTTATGTCTTGTCAATACCATCAGAATAATGTAAAGTGTGAGGTGACTTATACATGCAGCAGCGGCTGTATGAGGTGTAGCAGTCTATCAAACCTAAAGACAGAGGCTAGGTGCAGGGTAGGTGAGGTCCTTCATAATAGTTACAGGTTTGTTTATTCTACAGGCAAATACCTCATTGAAAAATTGGCTTGCAGTTCAGCGGCTGTTCCAGCAACATTCACCACTCCCTCTAGTAAACCGATGAATGCTGCAGCTCGGTTCATCTGCAACCTATGCACAGCAGCATCGGACTCTTCATCGGAAGAAAGCTGGGGGAGGACAGACAATCTCCGGAACAGCATGAGTTGCTGCATCAACAGTGGATATAGCTCTCTGTAGCAAACATAAATACATAATTGACTTTATTTCAACTACTGGAAAATAGTCTTCATCTTTGACATCTTGGTGATGAAATGATCTATCATGATAAGCAGGCACTATTGAAAATGTTCATATTATATCCACAGTTGTAAGCAGGTCATTACAAATGGTACTTAATATTTATCACTACATGTAAGTCATCACAAATCAGTCAATCGCAAGTCCATCGCAAGTCCATCGCAAGTCCATCGCAAGTCCATCGCAAGTCCATCACAAGACCATCCCAAGTCCATCCCAAGTCCATCGCAAGTCTATCCCAAGTCCATCGCAAGTCCATCGCAAGTCCATCGCAAGTCCATCGCAAGTCCATCACAAGTCCATCACAAGTCCATCACAAGTCCATCAAAAGTCCATCACAAGACCATCCCAAGTCCATCCCAAGTCCATCCCAAGTCCATCCCAAGTCCATCCCAAGTCCATCGCAAGTCCATCGCAAGTCCATCGCAAGTCCATCGCAAGTCCATCGCAAGTCCATCACTAGCCCATCACAAATCCATCGCAAGTCCATCGCAAGTCCATCGCAAGTCCATCGCAAGTCCATCACAAGTCCATCGCAAGTCCATCACAAGACCATCCCAAGTCCATCCCAAGTCCATGCCAAGTCCATGCCAAGTCCATCTCAAATCCATCCCAAGTCCATCTCAAATCCATCCCAAGTCCATCCCAAGTCCATGCCAAGTCCATGCCAAGTCCATGCCAAGTCCATCTCAAATCCATCCCAAGTCCATCCCAAGTCCATCCCAAGTCCATGCCAAGTCCATCCCAAATCCATCACAAGTCCATCACAAGCCAATCATAAGTTGTTAGAAAAGTTAGCAGGGACCTTTACAAATGGTGCAGGTATGGGATACATATGCGGCTCAGAAAAAAAACTAGCTGGTGATATCACCATTTGGCGTTATTTTATCAAACCCACACATATTCAATTCAATTCAATTCAATTCAATTCTTTACTATCCATTTCAATATAAAACAGAAAATTTACATGTGAGTTGTAAAAGCACATTAAAAAAGAAATTTGCGACAAGAATAAGTTAAATATCCCACCAATAATAATTCGAAAGTAATGAAAATGAAAAAATACAAGTATTAAACAACAAACATACATAGCAGTTAAAAAATTTCCAGTTCCTATTTGTATCTTAACTGTTTGATATGAAATGCAAATTGCCCATCCTGTGCCAGATGAAACGACCACGAAAAAATATGCATTAACAAGCAACTTTTTCCGAGTCGCAAACTTATCCCATATGTGTACCATTTCTAATTGTCCCTATTGTCTTAGGACCCTTGCAACGAACCTGTACTCATCACAAGCCAGTCCGTAGTCCACACACACCCTCCACACATGCAGGCTGGCAGTGCTCAGCTCGTATGCTTCTGCAATGTTCAGCTGCATGTCTGGTGGGTCAACGGTAATGTATCGCACAATGGACGCCATCAGCCTGCCACTGGAAAGCTGCATGAAAAAATACACAATCACTTTTGTTGAACATTTTTCTGAATCCTCCATATCCACCAATGTGCAGGAATTGGATGGCACATTCTTAATACCTCAACTTACAATAGACATTATTCACAAGTCGGCCATATTGAACTGAAAGCGAGGTCAACACTTCATTTGTGGAACTTGCCAGTAGCAACGAATGCAATGAAATAAAACTTCATTACAAATTAACACCAGTCTGCTCTGATGAATAGTTTAAACTTTGTGATTAAACATACCCTTCTGTTTTAACCCTATCCGCCCTGAATCCTACAAAATCCTCTTTGCCAAAGTGGAGGAATTTGGAGGATTGAGGTTACATGGCAAAAGTGCGTTACTGATTTTGTTAGATGCACTTTGTCAAGGTCTTGGGCCAGACCTTGTGTTGTTTTTGCTCAGCCATGCATAAATATAGGCCTGGATTATGCTTGAAATCCTCCGTACTGCTCTAGGATGTCACTGACGAAGCCTCAACATATTGACAGTCACTGCTGCAGGATTTTGCAGGATTCAGGCAGTGGTCACCCCTCCACGGACCATATTCAAGAAATAATGGAGAAATTTGCAGGATTGAGGCTATATGCTATTTTTCCATGAGGCCAATTGGAGGATTTTGAAGGATTGAGGCTACATCCTAGCAAAAAGGCCTAGGGAGTTAGGGTTAAGCCACATTAAAAAAAAAAAAAAAGTGAGGCTTGGAACGCACTCGTATCTTAAAATAGTCTGGCACTATCCCATTTGCAAATGATAGAATAGAGTCAGGGAACACGATCGAATGGCTTCCCGTGAATAAGGTCTATAGGGCTGTGCCGAATATACCAAATATTTGATATTCAATCATGAACCGCATCTATTTTTTGGAATCAAATATTTGAGAAATGTGAGTGGTCCCCTAGAGTCAGATGACATTCAGCCCCCACACCCTCTCCCATGTTGACAAGAAATTGCCGCTCCTAGCATCAATGGTGCTCCAGTGTTATGATGTGCATCGGTTCAGGTTGACCAGGCCAAACCGACCCGAAACATTACAGATATAAACCGAATCCGAACCGAAACTGATCTTAACTCCCTCAAAGCGACCCGACCCGACCCGACCCGACAAAAAATAAGGTAAAACCGACCTGAACCAACCCGAACCAACAAAAAACGAATATCTGGCTTGGACAAAGTGATCACTTTTTTCGTGCCTGCCCTTACCCACGTGGCATGCATTTTTTTGCAAAACCATCATCTCTCTCTGTCATACTCAGTGGGTTGATCGAGAGTAACTCCGCTAAATGAACAAACGCATGGTATCACCACGCGGTATCATGAAAACTGTTACAATCTATCTGTTTCACTGTCAGTCCCGATCCGACTGGAGAAATTAATACCGTGGGAAATTGATAGTGCGCGCGTTGGCCACACCACAATGGGCTTCGGTCACAGCGACTGTCAATAATATTGCATCACCTGAATTTCTCAACTGTTTCGGGGTTTTTTTCGGTTTATTTCGTTTTTTTTTCTTCAAAAGATGGCTAAACTGACCCGACCCGACCCGACCCGACCCGAAAATGTAAATGCAAAACTGAAACCAACCCGACCCGACAGAAAAGATCGACCGACCCGACCCGACCCGAAGTCGGTTTCGGTTTGGGTCAGTTTCGGTTTCGGGTCGGGTTTGCACAACATTTCTCGAGTGTCCTTAATCTCTCTCGTTTACTTTACTTGCTCATTGTTGTGTGGGTACTTGTGCACTGAATTCATACTGAACTTACAAGAGATGCAGCAATGTTCCTTCCAGCCACACAAAGCACTTTGATTAGCTTCATTGCCAGTACCACCGGATAGCCATAGACATCACTCACAATACCCTCTGAAATGAAATGTTCAAATGTTCAATTGGTCAATCTCTCAAACTTTTAAACAGTAATGTCTTTCACAAAAACTTACCGCATCTTGAATGCCAATCCAAGATCTCGGAACTGCTTTTCAGACATGGGTCGTTCTATAAATTTGGCTAATAACAAAGCCAATAACAAATCAATCCCAACAGCAAAACGCAGAGGTCAATACACGTCAGCTGGTGCATGTAGGCTAAAGTAGGCCCAAAATTTGTGTTTACAGTAACCCGACCTACCTTAACTTTTTCCAGCCAAGTTGCCACATCAACTTTTGATTGCCACATCTGGCCAAAAATGTCAAATAAAGCATATTGGTAAATATAAAATTCTTCCATATGCGAGGTTTTTGGAGTTACACCAAATGAGCAACAATGAGACCAAATCTTGAGACCAAATCATGAGACCAAATCCCAAAATACTAATTGTGTCTTCCAGCTGGATGGGTTGCAAAAACAACTCAAGACCGGTTCATACTTCATGCAAATGTAAATGCGAAGCAAAGTTGACGTCACGGAACATTCTTTGCGAAATATGCCAGATTTGAAATGTGTTCAACTTTTGCCAATTTGAATTCGTAGCGCAAAATCTTGCCGTGAAGTCACAAGTTCGTATTCACATTCATTATCGTGGAGGAGTATGAACTGGAAATGGGGTGCTGTGGTCCAATGGTTACGGTGTTCGACTCGTGTGCCGTGGTACATGGGTTCGAATCCTGACCGTCGGAACATGGTGCTTGTGCTCTTGAGCAAGGCACTTTACCATTATTGCTTCGTCCTTCAGATGGGACTAAAAGCCGTAGGTCCCGTGTGTTGTGTAATGCATGTTTAAGATCCCAGTATACACTTGTCGCTAAGAGAAGGGGTTTGCCCTGGTGTTTCTGGCAGTGGCAGCAATATGCGCCGCAGCACCTAGCAAAAAGGTGCTACATAATGGGTCTCATATGTTCATATACTTCATTACCTGTCTTTGGTTGCATTGTTCCACATCGTTTGTATCCTTTGGAAAAGGTGCTATATAAATACGGTTATTATTATTATTATTATTTTTATCAAATTACCCTGATGTTTCCAAGCCGCAGTTGGTAAAAACTGGTCCAGGATGGTTGGCATGAGTCGGGGACACTTCATGACCTCGTGTGCAGCTTCTTGGGAGTGGCGACAGACTCTGACAAGGATGGCCAAAGCATTCAGGACTACGGGAGCAGGAGGCCGGACTACCTCCAGTATGTAGCGAAGCCTCGGTAGAACCTTCATGCGTAACAGTCCCTGAAAATAATGATCATCAAGTGCAAGATGTTAATTGAAGCTCCATTTGGGAGATGATGGTCAGAGATTCCACCCAAAAGATCAACTTTAAACCTTTTTACCTTCTCTTCTAGAGTTAGTTGCCTCACATGGTGTATCCACTAACTTCAACCCGAGCGGTAGTGTATAAGCCATGATAACTATCAGATCATACCGATCTGATGTAATTGAGGGAAAACTGTTGTCTTTGTTGGAGGTGGATGAAGACTATCAAATCAGATTTTGATTACATGTGATCATATTTTTATAGAGCAGTTTAGGTGTTGCATTACTGTTTGCTACTACAGTGAAATCTCGATAAGTCAAAATCCTGGCCATCTTAATTTGGGTTTTGTTCTGTTCTTGTTTTGTCTTATTTTGAAACAACCTTGCCTTGTTATCATTGCTGCCTTTATTCATACCTCCTTGCTTTTGTTTACACTTGTTTGTATTGTTTCAGGACTTCCTTATACTTGTACTCTTGTCTCCTCTAGAGTAACATTGTCATATTCTCTGCATATGTTTGTTGCAAATCTTGGCTGAATAAATAATAATATAATAATAATAATAATAATAAAAAACCTGTTAACTCAAAAACCCTTCCAACTCAAAGTAAAAACTTATTGTTGTTGAATAGAAAATGCATTGGATAACTCAAAACTCTGCTTAACTCAAAGGTAGAGCAGAGGTTTGAGGTTTGACGTATCGAGATTCCACTGTATCTGGTTCCAACATATAGATGGCAAAGAATCATGGAATTAACATTTAGCAAATAAAACATGTCCCCCACAGCCACTTTTGTACATAACAGAAAGCCTTTTTTTCAAAGTTCTCCTTATAGGCCATATGCTTGGGGGTTTGGTCAGTATCGAATCAGGGCATAAATGATTATAGTGCGCATGCGCGAGGTATACCGCCCCTAGAGTGGTAACAAGCATTTTGATGAACATTTTGAAAAAAAGGGTGATAACACCCAAAAAGCTGCCACCGCTGCAATTGCTATCACATATTTTCCAACTCTGGAGGTGTATACCTTGCCAAAAATTGCTATGACGAGTATTCCCCTCATTTGATAATGGTTGCCAAAATTTTGGACCGAGGCTCTATTATATGCAAGTGGAATGTGTTCTTTTTCGGCCACAGTTACCTTGATAGCATCCTGCTTGGCGATCTGAGGATCCGTCTTGTCCTTCTCCTGTATCTCCTCCCCTTCTTCAGTCACATCTTCGGCGTCATTCAGGACGGAGACGGGATGCATGGGTGTGGTCTCCATACCCCGGTGCCAACCAAACACCCTGTCCAGTGTGCTCTACAAAAACAGAAACAGTCTTTTACCCTACATACTGCATCCTTTATACTTAACTGCAATATATGACTTAAAAATGTACTGTGCATGCTCTTCAACACATTCATTTGATTCCCTTTCTTATGAATTTTGAGCTGTCATTTGAATATAAATGTCGGGCTGCAAATAATTTGAACTTTGTAAAGCAATTATTCCATCACAATTAAAGTGGGCCAAGTTTTTTGGTTTTCCAAACCCCGGCCTATGCTTTGTCTCGGAGCCAAAACTGGGATTCAGAAAACGACCTTGCTCAAATTACCCAAGTTAATCAAATGTCCATTTTAAGGAACACCTGGGCGTTTCTTGTACATTATTGGCCATTGTGCCCACATACGGCAAATGGATCATTGTGTGTAACTGGCCCAGGCCTGGCCACACCGATATACAGACCCACTCACGGCTAGCTGTTAATTGTGTTTGTCCGGATGCGTGCAGAGGAAAGTCAGGAAAGTTTGATTTCTCCGCAAGCCAATCTACCATTTCAAACTGAAAGTATGGATAAATTAAGGCCGTGGTAAGTCAAGTTATACCATTTTTTTTCTGGTGATCAGGTACAAGTTCGACATGTCGAGTACAAGTACTTTGCAATCTGAGTATGAGTACCGTCATTTTGAGTACGAGTACTTTGCCATTCGAGTAAGAGTACGAGGACTCTAAAAAGTACTCGAGTACCGAGTACAAGTACTGAGTACGAGTACAACACTGGATTAAAGAAGGCCCACGAGGAGGCCACACTGCTAATTTTGTGGGCACACACCTTGCTAGGGGGTCAGGCCAATTGGTCGATGCAGAGTATATGCATAGCTGCCAACTTTTCAAAATCCAAATGAGTAATCGATCTGCATGGTCATTTTCAACTGCGCGTATATTAACCCTAACAGAACTCAACCCATCAACCCCAACGGCATGATTTGATGGAATCTGTCAGGACACAATGTAGGTACAGTACCCCTAAACTGACAGTCTTTTACATTGGGTTGGCAAGCAATATGTGTGTGCAGTTTCCCATATGGTGTTGGAAATCACCAGGATGGGTATGGTTCCTAGTAAATCATGCAAGGGAGTTTGGGTTAAAAGTGCATCACGTATAGGCACATGGTATACATGCACTGTGCATAACCCTTTTTTTGGTGATGAAAAAGCAAATGTATGTCACACTTGCTGGTTCCAAGTCATTTGCACACATGTACACTCAACAAAAAAAGAAAGTCCCCCCTCAATACTTTTTTGTCTAACTCAAAAACTACTGGGCACATCTTGCTCAAACTACGACTGACCAGTACAGAAATTCTTTAGCAATCCAGCCATGCTCTTTGTTTGGCCAAAAAAAAGTGATAATGTGTACAAAATTATGCAATTTATGACTAATGGTACCAACAATAAAGTTGCATTTTTGAATGCGTGCAAGGTGAGTGTGAACCACAACTTGCACGTATACAAAAGTGCAACTGTTTTCGGTATCATTTACAATAAATTGCATAAATTCGTACACATTATCACTGTTTTGGGCAAAATAGAGGGTATGGCTGGATTGCTAAGGAATTTCTGTACTGGTTAATCGTTATTTGAGCGAGAGGTGCTCAGAAGCTTTTGAGTCAGACAAACAAGTATTGGAAGGGGGACTTTCTTTTTTGGTTGAGTGTATTATACGAACTGGCCGTAGATAGTGCCTGGCGGTATCATCGTAGTAATGCATATATACAGGTAAGACGAGCAGAACAGAATTGGTGTTACAACCCCCCCCCCCCCCACCACCCCCATTTAAAAATTGTCTGGCAACAACCATGGATCTTATCACAGACTCTTTATTGGCAAGATTTCTTTCAGCATCACTTCCTACCTCATCCCCTGGTTGTATGAGCAGCGCTGCTAGGCCTTCCATGGTTGCTGCAATCACCCCCTCATTACTGTCATCTAGAGACCATCTCAGGAGGAACAGTACCCCTGCCTCAAGGAGCTTGGGTATCAGGGGCTCCAAGAGTTCTCCCCCTAGCTGATTCAGTCGGCACTAGGGAAAAAGGGTCCAACATACAGTAATTTCAGTCTTTATGAGCTCCGTGCACAATAATAAACAATAATAAAACCATTCTTATATAGCGCATATCACCGTGCAGTCCTTATTGCGCTTTCATGAAATCCACAATTATACAAATTGAACAGATATGTTTTGACCCGGGTTTTGAATTGTTCTGATGTTTCGGCCTGTTTGACAACATCTGGTAAGTTGTTCCATAACTGAACTGCAGCTGATTTGAAGGAGCGGGAACCATAGGACTTAGTTTTAATGACTCCTATGGACCTTCAATTGGACACAATTTAATTTTTGCCCAAGTACCACTTCAACGGCAAGAAAGGGAGAACTAGAGCTAATGTACTTCCCGAAGCAGGGATATCAGCCTAAATTGCCGTTTTAACGGTTTATCTGAATACTGACTCGCACTGACCCAAGGTGACCATTGATAAATGTGGCAGAGATCGGCAAAAGAATGTAAGACAAGCAAATATGAATTATATATTATTATTAGTATTATTATTATTATTAAACAAAACGAACCAGGTAGAGTGGGAAAAGTGCAAGCACTATAAGTTGCTTTACTGAGCAACCCCACACACCTGAAGCATATAATTGGGGCAGTGGCATAAAAGCGCAGACAAATACGACACAAGCTTACATTATAGATGACCCTTGCCAGTGTCTGTAGGGCCAGTACTCGCTGTTGTGTGACAGCACTGCGAGACAAGGTGAATAACTCCTCCAAAGAATATCCTGGAACCTGACAGAAAAATCAACCATGACAGCTAAGCAAGTATCCGATAGAAGCCTAATACTATTAGAGCATTTTATTCCATAGCATTTTCAGACCTATATACATGTACTGTTCATGTACAACCTGTAGTATGCAACAGACACATGAGGCCTTAAACGTGGTTATCAAAATATAACTTAACTCCAAAATGCAGTCAAAGTGATGAAGAAGTTATTAGAAAGTGATAAAAAGAAGAAAGCTCTATATTGAATGGAAACGTTCTACTTCATATGGAATGTCAAAAGAAATATTGAGTGTTTGCTTTGGGATCAACCATCCAGCAATCAACTACATGTGTTTCCTACACTATCATCTTTCTGACATCCACGCCCAACAAACCGGTACCCCACTGCCATAGGCTAGCCTTCCTGATTTGTTTTTATCATCCTCAATGGACAATCAATTGGGCACAATTCAATTTTTGCCCTGATTGGTTAAGCCAGTAATGACATCTTTGCACTAAATGTTTTTTAATATTGGTGTGTTCATTCAATAAGGTTAATATATGTATTGTGTCTTGAAACTGCAAAATTTGATGTCATAAGTGTCCTTTGAATAACATCGGGTACATCACTTTCATCACAGAGGCACAACACTTGGCACAGAGCAATGGATGCCCGATTATAGAGCATCTTACTTTCAGCAAGAAAGCTATAAATATTCAAAGGTAAACTGCAGCCTGCAATGCTTTAGTTTATTTAATTTCTTGCAGGGTTACACTTTTATCTTTTTGACTATGAAAACCTAAACCCCTGAATTCATTTGTTGTAAAGTACCACATACTACAAAGTACCACATACTACAAAGTATTACAAAAATTATGTATGCAGGTACCAAATACTAGAAATACTATGAGTGCTGTGCCCACCTATATGCTGTAGTACTGCATACTTAGTAGTATTTTGTAGCTTTAGGTGAGGTTAGGGTTAATAGGACAATGTTACATGAACCATCAAACAGACTTTGACAAAAACTGATCATCCCATAACCAGCTGCACCCGATCTCAAGAAGCGCTGAGACGCAACTCAACCCGAGTTACGTCGGAACTCGCGATGTGTCGCATGATCCATTTCACAAAGCTTGCGATGTGTTGAATGCGTCATAAGTTCCCTGACAACAGCTTAAACATGTCGCAAGTTATGACTTGTCTAGTGGTCATCGCAAAATAAAAAGCGTCCCTTTCTTTCAGTTTTATGCCATAAAAATACATAAACAAGACTATAATACCAAGACAATGCGTGTAAAGTTTAAATAAAAAATGTACTGAATAATTATGAATTAGCCTGGAATATTGCGGCTAAAATTTCAAAGTAGTTATTCAGTCCACTGAGAGTTCGCACTTACGACATGTTTTGTAAAATGGATTGCAGTATGCTTCGCAGCTGCGACGCATCGTAGGGATATGACGTGCCGCAGCATTGCGATGCATGGTAAGTTACGATGAGTTTCATGAAATCGGGTGCAGGACAGAACAGTTTTCATTGTAGTCGAGTCCATCACAAATCCCCACAAGTCAATCACAAATCCTCCAGTCTCGATTCAAGTCACAATTATTCAAATGAACTGCGACAAAAGCAGTCCTTTGAGAACGTGCATCCTGAGCTGCTTGTGATCTGACTGATGAAAGGATTTGTGATTATGTACTTCTGATGGGACTTCTGATGTACTTGTGATGACTCTGCTACAACACTGGTCCTGCTGGAGTCTCGCCAGAACAAGTTGAAAGTAATGGACACCATTTGCAAACATTCAAAAATGAAACTGCCAAAATATTATGAAATATCCTACTTGATTGAAAGTAAATAATAGGATCAAGCAGCCTGCACAATCGTTTCGCCCACTTTGCTGTCATTTTTGAGAAAAGAGGATTTACCATCATTTCCTTGCAATGGTTAGGACAAACCATCGCCCAAAAACGTTCTTTTTTTTCCGAATACTCCAGCAAATGGACCAACTTTAGTTTCGGTTGCGATCAGTAAAATATCCGTGAATGAGAATTATTCTCCCAAGTGACAAACTGGGGAATCAGACCACAAAAGGGTTGCAAGTCAAAACATTTTAATCAATGAGAGCTTTCAAGGGAAACCTTGCTTTTTGCGTCGAGAAAAGTGAAGACTTATTTTCACAGTTTTTTTCAAAATGTATATCTATTTAGCTGAAATTCCAACATGTTAGTATTTACACCTACTGCAGATTTATTGTTTTGTTCATTGACTTGGCAAAAATGCGTTTTAATTGCAAACGGTCTCCATTCTCTTTAAATTTCCACACCTCTTGCTCGTCTCCATGGTGATGTAACCCTTCCCTGACTGGTATCTGGGCGTCTCTGGCTACCAGCTGACCGTTGAAGTCAAACCTGCCCTGGGCGCCTTCCTTGGACTTGGCTGAGGGCTTGGGCAGATCCTTCATCCACTCCAACTTGTCTGGTTCAGCCTGGTCCATGTGAACCCACTTATCCCCCACTCTGATAGGGGGTTGAACTGAATGTAAAAAGTGAATAGAGCATGTAAGTTCTTGCCAGTTCACTTTATCTGTAAAGTCTTGGTACCATAGAACTATACTAGAGCACTGACTAGAGCGCTAACTCGATGTACAAAGCGATGCCTGCTGGGCACATAAATGTTTGTGCACAAACCCATGGAAAACTCGAAATTTTGTATGTCTTTTGTACGGCTATTTGCATATATTGCGTTTGCATTCTATACAGGTACGTTATCGAAGCCAATACGCCCAAAACCGCAAAGCCCGATCAGCAAATGAGCCTTTTATTTTGCTCTACGCAAACAGCGCAATGCGTGCGCATATCCGCTGCAGATGATTTATAATGTGACTTTAAAAAAAAAAACCTGTGACGAAGTTGTTTACGTACGTTCTACTTGCGCGTTGCATATAGAGTACACTTTCAAAATTCAATCCATCTAATTTCATTATGTTCTACAAACACGCACATGAATTCAAAATGTCTGCGCCCAGGTCGGCTTCAAAGCGTCTCTGCGCGCAAGAATGAAGAGTTAGCGCTCTAGTAATTTAATATAGCTCTATGCTTGTTACCAAACACTGACTAGTCTCGTCAGCGACTCCCATGTTTGAATTAACTCAATTGTTATCTGCGTGATCGATTAAACGAAAGTTGAGGTCAATCTTTTTAAATTATATATAAAAGTTATCCATATGCAATATGTTTAATACAGTGTAAATCGTAATGCTTTCTTTTCTTTACACTTAGTTAGTTTCTCAGACGCTCACTTTTCAGAACCGTCACCAAAAAAGTGGTAATCCAAAACGGCAGGCTCTGATGAAAGTCTCGTGTCTGAGGCTAAAGCTTCTTTGAAACACATACAAATGGCAGGTTTGGTATTTTTGTATAAGTTTTTGTTGTCTTGTGCATTTTTGTCAAACATTGGTGTCCTTGTTGCCAACGGCAGCATATCTGTCAATCAGTTAACACTCATGTCAGTCTGCTATCAATATAACCTCGTGTTCGCGCAACAAGGTCGTATCTCCTAAAGTGGCGTGTGACGTCATATACGTGAAACACAAGTTTTACAAGTCAAAGGGTTGTATCTCGCTGAAAATAACCCGGATGTACACACAAAGTCAATGGACGCCTCGATACGCGATATATGACCTTGTTGCATGGAGCGTATTCGCGCCAGATACGACTTTGTTGCACTGACACAACGATAATATGTGACCACTCGTACAATACAAACTTTACCAATGTTCTTACCAGATTCTTCATCCATCCTGTCCGATTCTTTGACATCAGAGACTGTGTCACTTCCAGGCAGACCCGCTGCTGCAGCGTTGGGTGTTGGTTCCTCTGGGTGTGTGCACTGTGACTTGTCATTGGCAGAGTGCTCTGTTTCCATGGGTTCTGTCATTTCAGTAGAGTCTGTTTGTGAGGTTGATGCACTGCTAGTGGCTTCTGGCTTTTGCTTGTTCCTCGATTGGATGAATGAAACTAGACTGGGATCTACATGTACGAGAGATTTTAAAAAAATGATTACCTGTTCTTTAGATTAAAGTGTGTAAGAAAACATAGTAATGACTATTTTTTTGTATTAAAGAAAAAAAAAGAAAACTGGAAAAATATTTTAGTGCAACACAGTTAAGTCGACACTGACGGGGAATTCCACCATTAGAATAACAATTTCTTTTTCATAAACTATAAGAACCTTTGACAATCATCTGCTTATGAATTTCTTACTGCATGCAGCTTGTTGTCACATCTTATCTGCCCATCTTCGATTCATAAACCTGTTGGTACATTGTGAATTTTGCAATTGCCGATTGTTTGAAATAACCCGATGTAATAAGCCAGTTTGGTATTCCAACTGCGCATGTGCACATCAAGATTTTCCTTTCAGGATAAACAGTTTGTTATATGGATGCAACATTATTGCGGGTACCAGCATTCCAGCAAAATTAAAGAAATTGTCTTTTTCTGAAGTAAGCACAAAATTTAAAAGTTTGGACAGGGAAGTGTTTTTCATGTGGTTTGTATGCCCGTAGGTCCCAACTTTTTTGTGCAAACAAACATTTCCATCGTCTTTTTGAAGGCATGGGTTAGCATGTCCCCCATAGACAGATGTGCATTTATCTGCCTCGTTTGTCCCAAAGTAAAATCGTTGAGTCCAGTTACTCACAGTTTGCACAGTTGGACTACCAATTTGGTTTTATATACAATTTGGCAGATTTATTCTGTTTCTGGGGTTAAAAGTGAATACAAGCACGACTTGGATCACAAACTTGCCGAGCATTGCTTTCAGTTTCCTCTGTTCCGCCAGTATTTCTGCCTCCGACATCTTCGATAATGTCGCCATATTTTCATGGTCGATCTCCTCCCAATCCTGACTTGATGATCCGCTTATCCCCGGGGATGCGCCCATGTTGTCACTCTCCTTGTTTTCCCGCATATCATCGGGACTTTGGCCATTTGCAGTCCTCGGCGTTGGTGATGGGGTGGTTTGGTGGTGGGCAGTGACCCCAAAACTGGAGGGGGAGGAGCTGTCAAACTGCTGGGCAAATAAACTCTTTTTCTTCTTGGTCTTGGATGGGCCTGATGCTTGCTGTATATGGGAGAAAAGAAATGGATTTAAACGGTTTGTAATAAGATATTGGCTCTTTGTACAATTTCTTCACAAAGGGGTAAACGAATGCATTTTAGTCTTGTTTCGGTTTGCTGGAACACCATTTGGTAATAACTACTGCTTAGAAGATATTTAGTTCTGAAAAGAATTTGTCCTGCTTATTATCAACTTTCGCCATGTAGTTTTTTGTTCTGGTAAGAACAGTCCTGCTTTAAGCTCTAAAAGAACTTGTCTTTGTACTTTAGAACTTAAAGCAGGACTGTTCTTACCAGAACAAAAAACTACATAGCAAAAGTTGATAATAAGCAGGACAAGTTCTTTTCAGAACTAAATATCTTCTAAGCAGTTGTTATTACCACATGGTGTTACCGCAAACCGAAACAATACCGATATTCCACCATGCAATTTAGCCTCAAATTATATATCAGAATATTAGTTATCAGGTGAGAGTGAGTGGAACATGGCATATTGTTATATTGTGTCTCGGATACTGTAATTTCAAAAGTGCAACATTGGATGAGAACTTGGGATTGTAGTCATATGTGGAAGTCATTTGTCATAGTTATTTTTCTGTACATTCCACACCCCTTGAGGATTTTACTGCCCAAAAAGTTCAACAACTGTCTGAGTATTTGAGAATTAACAGAGGAATCACCTTTAAGTTATAACGTTCATAACACGGACAAGCATTTTATCATGTATTGACAGGAAGTAGTGATAAAATGACTTGGATCACACAAATGTTTCCAATTCAAAAACTATCCCAAGATGGATTGCTACTAGCCCCTTTGAAGATGACCATCTAGGTATTACAGACAGTACAGGTTGTACTTGTACAAAATGTAACGTACGTAACGGGGACAGACATGTTTTACATGTACGTTATTTACGTCACGTCCTAATTTCTTAAATACCAAAAGGTTGTTTTAGCTTTGACTTATGCGCCAGTAGTGGTGATTGCACCCCCATGAGCCCACTGGGATTCGCGCAGACCTCATTTCCAGTGTCCATCTACTAAAGGTGCATTTTGCCTTTAGTGCATTAAAAGTCTCTCCTGTTCCTGACAAGTTGGTATTGCAGTCGCAGTTATTGTGTGTCAGAGTGAACCCCTGTCCTTACTGGCGTGGTGGCAGCGTTCTGAGACGTCCCTTCGCATTAAAAAAGCTCGGAAAGGTGCTCCAAACTTACAAGTTTTCGACACACCGTAGCATTCTCGTACAGTGAGCGACTGTGCAGTTGTTATACATTACGACTGAGTGTATCGCCTTGTCGAAGTGCACTATAGCATCTATGCACCGCGCACCGAAGTAGTGGTGCTTGAGTAAGGTGGAGACTGTCCATACATTTGAGAATTGGCGACAAAACTTACAGTCCACCCTCTCACTCGACCCAAACTTTGCCCCATTTTTGGTGGAGGGCTGCCAGTGGGAAAAGAAAACCAAAGCAGCTCTCCTACGTGGATTTAAAGATGACCCTGACACAGTACCAGTCGATAAGCGGAAGACTGCTCACCAAAAAGTCACCGTGCTTGAGCTGATGTTGGGGCAAATAGCAAATTAATGCCATGTAATATCCCACAACACAATCATCAAGAGTTCTACCTCCATGAAAACTCCACTACGGATTTCAGTTGACTGGTGCCGACATCATTGACTTCTCCGACATCCACCTACGCCCAGACGAACGACCCAAAGACCTTTTTCAACGCCTCATGGCATTTGTGGAGGACAATTTACTCCACTCTGACGGTGGAATTTCCCATCACGGCTAGCCAATCACTGAAGATGAGAAGCTGTCCCCCTCTCAAGAGAACTTCATCGTTCTAACTTGGTTGCGACTGATACACAGCAGTCTGCCAAATTTAGTGAAGCAGTGATACGGAAGTTCGTGCCTCCGATGATGTGAAGATAACAAACATTCAGCCTTCTTGCCCCCATTTGGCTTCACAATGACACCCCTCTCGCCCCAAAAGGTCATGCCAGATCTGCAAACAAGTCGGACACAGTAGCTCTGACCACTTCCTGAGTGAGTGCCCTTACCTCCCCGAGCAGGACCGACGTTTCATTCTCAAAGCCCATCAGCAAACCAGCATCCTAGACAACGGCCCAGAAGACAAACCCCAATTTAACAATGAGGATATTAAGAAGCACCCTGACTTGAGCCATGACGCAGACACACGTACCTCCTCTGCCCACAGGGTCCAGACTCGACAATCCCCGTACTTGGGACACTTTCTGTGCTGATCATACAATCCGCATTATCCTTGATAGCGGTGCCACAGAAAACATGATACATGTACGTGCATCCACGGCAAAGCGTCGAGGAGAGCGCCCAGTCTGCCCATCAAGCAGATGGTTCATTGCCACTCAAGGTACCGGTAACAGGTGACACTTGCCTAAAACTCTGCCAAGATGTGCTTGGCGGTATATCTTTCATGGAGACCAATGACTTGGCCATTCGACCTGCCAAACGCCTGATCTCACTCGCTGATGGAACCACCCAAACTTCATAGCGTCCACTGTGCACACATATTTTGTGCCCCCTCATGCTCGACCACTGTCTTGCTGGGAAAGTTCAGTGAGCTACAACTCCCCAATGACATCTCGTCACCAGACTTTACTTTCGCCCTTGATGAGCCCCACGCTGATGCCCCCGGCACGAATTTGCTGGATCCTGCTGAACTCTGGCCCTCCCCCCAACATAATTGGCAGTGTGGCCGGGAAGAATCGTGTCCAATGTCCACAAATACTTGACTGATAATTGACTCTGGACTGCGACTTTATGGTCACTTGCATTGATTTGAAGAAGAGTTGCCCTCCTATTGAGTAGCACAATATGGGGCAAAATAACCCCAAGGGCTCGAGGGCAGTCTTCCTAAAAAAAAAAGTTGTCACGCTAGTAGTGGTGATTGCGCGCGCCCTCATGAGCCCACGGTGATTCGAGCGGTCCTCATTTCCAGTGTCCATCAATCTACTCAACGTGCATTTGCCTTTAGTGCATTACATGTAAAAGTCTCTCCTTTTCCTGACAAGTTGGTATTGTGTGTCGGAGTGAACCCCTGTCCTTACTGGCGATGTATAAAATTCATGAAGAGGCAAGAGATGTAAATTAAATATTTGGGCAACTTAATTAATTCTTCAGTCAATGTACTTAGCCGAATGTTTGTCCACGTTATGAACGTTATGTCTTGAAGATAGCCCTGCAATCTCTTAGATATCCAGAGTGTTATTCTATTGTTCTGTCTGTATAATCACTACATTTGTAATTGCTTGGGAATATACAGGGGAAAAATGCGGCAAAATAGTTGATTTTATATCCCCTTCCCATGTCTTACTTCCATACTTCACTGATGAGTCCATTAGTGTGGACAGAAGTTTAAGGGTGCACAAAATCGAAATCTTACAAAATGTAGAAATTTATGGTTCAAACCGTACCCAAACAAATACAATTGCGTTATCTAGTAAAACTCTGGGAATGACATGAGATTACATTGTATTTTCAAACCAACCTGCTTGCCAGTGCCCCTGTGAAGCACTGTTGGAAACCCCTGATTGGTTGTTTGAGGCAGGAATCTTGTAGTTGGAGCTGCGTCACGCTCCTAGAATCAAAACAATACAGTTTTGTATATAACGAAACCGACAGTCAAGAAACAATTATCTATCAGCATATGGACATATGGACTCCATCATGCACCAGTACCCCCTCAACAGTTACTAAGGGAATGTTTGGGAGATCACTGGGAGGGATATCTGTACGCACTGCAAGTCGCGTCTGATGCTCATGCAAAAACGATACGGGTCTGTGCACAATCAAAATTTTAAAACAGTTGTCCGTACTTTGCACCCTACGCACGCACACAGTCTGTCCCTCCCACTAAAGCTTTTGAAAGTGGTCAAAAGGCCATCTACTGTACATGCACAGAGCCCAAATCACCAACTTCAAGTACTTACATGTACATGTACTTATCTTCCAGTGGGTTTCTCTTGAAGATTAGTTCAATTCTGTATATTAAAACTTATTACTGCACAAAAACTGCAAATTCATTGTAAAGAGACATCAGGTCCAATAAGCCTTATCGCAAATAGCAAAATCCGAGAGCATCATGGGAAGACTCAGGGACATTGACCGTGTACGTACGCTGTCAACGGGTACGCCGCAATGCTTAACACAGCGGCGACGGCATGCGCGTTCAAACACAGCATTCATGCGTGGTTCTTTGCCCCCTTATCCTGCCCACAATGCTTTGCGCAGCAGTGCATTTTGCTATTTGCGATAAGGCTTATCATGTCGTGAAAGTGGCAGGGCTATGGATCCCATGAACGAAGATACAAATGTGCAGATGACGCTTTCCACTTTTGAACACAACACATACATACCGTATGTGTGCATATGGCCCAAGTACATGTATGCACAACCAAGTCGGAGTTGCGTTGTAATGTCCCTCACAGTGGTCTCTCCCCAACTTTTCATTTGTGACCGTTGAGGCGGTACTTGTGCACGTAGTCTATACAGACCAGAGACAATCAAAATACTTGGAGAGGATTCAGAAAATTCCCACATTAATTACAGTTTACAGAGAAAAGGTTATCTTGGAAATAAGAAAAAAGCTGGCAGAACCTGATTCACTTACCATAATTTTGGTTAAGACTGATGTTATATGTGTGTCCCTTTCTATAACAAAAGACAGAAGTAAAAACAAAGTTATTTGCAAATTTGCACTTTTGCCTGAAATCACCGGAAAAGCAATTCACAGAGCCACTATGAAACCAATATGCCGTTCATTGCATATTTTTCAGGAAAAGAAGTTGAGACTTACAGTATGCTTTTTTTAATGTCACATCAGCAGGAATAATTCCATATTTGTTTTAAGCAGAAAAAAATAGACAGCCATCCTCCAACACAAAAGATACAGATTGTGAACAAGGGCCGATCTTCACACAGACATGTGGTAACAGAAATAGGGCTCATTCGATGACGGCCATTTCTGTAGGAGAACTGCAACTGCGTATTTTACGCAATCAAGCACATATTGCGTAGTGTTAAAAATGTTCCAAACACGCTCGAAATGTGTTTGAAATACGACGCAGCCGATGCGCGTCATGCAAGTTGACGCTCAAAATGCCGACGCACGTGGATGGTCTGTAGGGAATAACGTCATTTGAACGAGACCTTTTGGAAACAAAGAGTGGCATGTTGCATAGTTGTTAACATTAATAGACATCTCTCAAATGATGTCACTTCCTACAGATTGTCATGTGCATCAGCATTTTGGGCGTCAAATTTTCGTGATGCGCATCGGCTGTGCCGTATTTCGTAGAAACTTCGAGCAACATGCACGCATGTTTAGAACATTTTGCACGCGCACATGTACTTAATGGCACTGAATAATTGCAGTTGTAATTTCCTATGACATTTGGAGATGGCTGTCTATGAGAGGGGCCTATACTGCATCAAATTGTGTAAATGTATAAGTTACATGGCTAAGATGCATCATGGTCAACTAACCATGCGTTGATTGGTCGGAATGTAGATTTTTTTACAGTATTTTGGGAAAATCACTCCGGTTTCGGAGCACAACGGTTTAATGCTTTACGTTGCAGTATATACACGGGCAATGTAAAGTTTGTAAACTATACCATTCAAACCAGCACATGATAGGTCTAAATGTTTTTACCCGTGCACTCTTCAGAACAGAATCCTGTTCCAGCGTGCAGTGTAAATAAACCCTTGAATTTATACAACTACTTCACTCACTTTCCATCGCTTCTTCCGGGTCAACTTCATCCTCATCAAGGTCAAAGGTCACTCGCTGACCACCACTCTGACAACATGATAAAAGTTTACTGTTTACAAGCTCTACCTTTGAATGCGTGAGCATGCCTGTCTTGCTACATTTAATAATAATGATGGGCAAAAAATGTTCTCTGGTAATTACAAGTCACAACAAGCAAGACTCAAATTTTAAAATAATTTCCCAGATATCATTCTAAGCAGGACTTAATTGAGACTTTCTTTGACAGACCAATTAATTGATCAAAAGTTTGGCTTAGACCTTACTCAGAATCAGACTGGTCGGTCATCTTGTTTAAACTGCAAAATGTTTATCTTAAAAGTAATAAAAAAAATCCTTCGGGTAGATTTAACAATCTTGAGAATGAGCCAAGAATACAAAAAAATAAGCAAATGAAACTGATGCAATTTGTACAAAGAAACTAATAAAATAAAACAAATCCAGATAGAAAGAGCAGAATGATATCAAAACATGTCTGTCATCTGTTAGAATTTATAAGCAATTTCTTGAACTGTTGAAGTTGATTTTTGAACACAGGTAGGCCTAATTCCTCTGACTGTCTCACCACCGTTGTTTGTTGCTCTTTGAATCTTGATTTTTTCTTTTGAGGACCACCTGAAGATTCAAACACAGTGGACGACAAAGGTAGCCCTAGGAAATCAAGAAAAATCAAACACAATCATTAAAATTCAATCTTTCAGTGGGGAATTAATTGCAGTGTGTGGATTAGGGCTGTGCATCGGAACAAGGTATCGGAGTACCCGACCGCTGATGTCAGGAACCGGTTCCAGATTATGGAATCGAGTACCCGTAACCAACTTTATATATTTCTAAGTAACTTCTCATACAATGAAAACGAAAGGTTTTGAATGTCGTTTGTGGAGAATTTTCAAAATGAAAACCAGGCTACATGACACTTGCTAAAATGCAATTTACACTGCAATGTACTAAGCTCCCTGTACATACTTATATCTTGCTGTATTGACGTACATGTACATCGCGCATAAGACCTTTATAAACAATCTAAACAGCAACTTCCGAGATTTAAATTTTGGGCTTGGGTTTCTTTAATGGGTGCCCGGGTACATGTATGTAACCGTGTCTTTTTTTTTCTTCTTCAAATGGGTATCTGATTCCTGTACTACCCGTAAATGCAAACCCCTAGTGTAGATGAAACCAAAAGCGATGCATTGTCCATACAACGACAGGATTTTTGAACAATTATTGTGCATCACCTATCTTGCATTGTACAATGTATGTCGCATATTATTCACTTACACATTTGGAATTTGTAATTAAAATTTTTGACATTGATGACATAAATTACGTAAGTGTAAACATACACAAAAATCCCAAATGTTTCACCTCCCCATACAAATTGAATTTTTAACATAAACAGTACCAGATGCTTAGACTGATCTGCCTGCCCACTGCTCACACAGACAATAACACATATGCAGTTCTTCAATACCTTAATGTTCCCGCTGCGCGTGTCATAACTACATGCACGCATGTTGGACATCAATCAAGGCTGTGATTGGTCAAAGCATCAAGGGGAGGGGCTTAGTGGATCAGTCTATTAGATATACAGTGTGCTAAAAAAAACCACTGCCTCGATGTCAATACTACTCAGTCATAGAAGTAGCCATAATGTAACTTCCAAAGCAGACTTTTACAAGTAAAACACATGACAATTAATACGTTAACCATGTTAACAGCAATAACAAGGCATTGATCACTTTTTAACCCGTGGCTTCTCATTTTGAATGTCCTACAAATAATTGAAGGAAAAAACACATGAAACATAATCAATCAAAAAGAATCAAAATGTAAAATATTCACCTGATTTCAAGAAATGTAACAAACGTTGCAGACAAAGCACTTTAAACATGCATGTACATGTACCGGTAGCTAGATGTGATTTCTTTAATTCAGAGCAAAAAAAGGCACATGAATTACAATCAACTAGAGAACACTGACTGAACACATGATTCAAGACATCAACATTTTTTGAACCAGACTGTTTATTATCCAAACAGAGAGAATCAGGAAAACAGTTGCTACATGTAGCTGATAAAGTCATTTAATTTTTTTCAAATGTTTTTGATACATGTAACTCTTAAAAAGCTGACAATAGAAGTAAAACAAAAGCCGTTTCTGACATCATCTCGCTGGAAACCGTAACCAACAGGCGGGAAAGTGGCCACTATACTCTCAAGGCTGACCTAAGAGTCTGGTCCAACAAGCTTATTAAGCACACCAATACGACAAGGCTGGTATTGAGCACCTTACTTTATTGCAACGAATTGTGGACCCTGTGAGCAAGGAAGAGAGGAGACTCAATTCCTTCCACTTGCGCAGCTGCCTCAGACGTATTTTAAGAATTTTCTGGAAGGACAAAGCTCCCAACAACATGTTGCTTGCAAAGGCAGGGATCACCTCGTAGACCTACCGGTACACGTACAGGATGTACAGGCTTCTCAAGCATAGGTGACTGTGCTGGCTGGGCCACGTTTCCCCTGGATGCTTCCTAGTTTATAATGTAAATTGATTTTTTAATTTAATTTTGAACCTGTTTAAAAAACAAATCACGATAATACAATGATGAGGCAAGTACACTGTACATTAACAAGTAAAGCGCTTTTATTGTTTTCGCTCTGGGCAAATTTTACATTACAATCATTAACAAAAAACTTGCACAATTTTCAACTAGACATTTAATTGTATTTAAAAAAAAAAATCACACTTTAAAATAAGTTTATGGTAATTAATTTTTTTCAGACTACAATTAGAGTTCATTTTATGTAACAGGCCAAATCGCGGTTTAAGGGATTTTAAAGGCTTGACTTTTAGGATTAGGAAAGAAAAAAAAATATGCAGACAAACTACTCACGCAGCTTTGAAAGGTTTTAAATTCGGACGAACATGTCAGACACTTTATAAAAGAGCTAATGTTGGAAAAGCGAATGTGATACATACATACATCACTAATATGTGACATCTAATGAGTAAAAAACAATTGCAGACCGCAAACTAGGGTACCACCTTGTACATCAAGTTGTCGGACTTACACAGAGAATTGGATTTTATGGAACTGCCCAGGACTGAGACACACCAATTTGGACACAGACACAGGATCTTGGTTTCTGAATTATTCCTCTTCTGATTCTTGTCGACTTTTATTTTCATGTAACTCATATTTTATCTTCGGATCACACAGGTAGGGGGCCTACGTAACCATCAGTAGTTTGGAGCACAAGTCACTTGGTTGTGTTCAGCTCAGCAGCCCGCACTGAACTGACGACCAACATCCATGCTAGTTGCAGTTGCACAGCAAGTTGTCAACACACAGTTGTCACATTTGCACCGATCACTCTGTTGGCCTCCTAGATGCAGCTGCAGCACTTGCTACAATACATAACAGCAACATTAGGCTGTCTAGAGTTCTAAGTAAATTACAATCACACAATGACGACAGGCCCAAACCTTTTTCCAATATCAACATTTTGGACACAGCTGTTGTGTATTTTATTTAGAGCAAAGATTAAAATGACTGAAAAAATGGACTTTGGGGCCAGACTGTTTCTTACTTTATTAAAAAAAATCACAGCTTACTAGTGCAATTGTTTCAGATCAAGTGTTGATGGTGAAAGTGAGTTGATTTTTTTCAATAACTTTAACAGTAACATTAGGATGTCTAGAAAACTCAATTACGACGACACGATAATGGCTTTTAGTATATATTTCAGAGTTTTTTTTTTGGGGGGGGGTTGAGAACACAGATTTACATGCATCACAACACATACCACATCAATGAACACTGAGAACATGGACAATTGACTGGAGACACAGACATTATTTCAGGTAATAGGCCATACAAGTTGATTTTTAATACAATTCCTGTTTTACAGTAACATCAGCTCTCTAGAAAAAGTAAATCACAACAACACAATGATGGCAGGCAAAAAGAATTTGGGCAGAGCTTTTATGTATTGTGTCTGAAAGTTATTTAGAACAAAAACAAGTATACAAGTATTGCAATAAAATACAATACAATGAACAAAGAAAACATATAAAAACAATACGTAGACATAATTTCAAGTAATGGTGTTGATTTTTTTTTATACTTGATTTTTTTTTTTATACTTTGGACAGTTACATTAGGCAGTTCAGAAAAGAAAATTACAACAACACAACAATGACAAGCAAGACATATTTGGACAAGGCTATATATTTTATTAAGAACACAGGTTTACATGCAGTACAATCACTAACAAAACAACAAACACAAAGTACATTACAAATAAATGAGACCTGCAGATTTCTGAACTAACAGACTGTTTATTATCACAATTAGAAAGAATAGCAATTTACAAACATTACCGGAAAATTCTGTGATAGTTGATCTGAGTTAAGTTTGTAAAATATACAATGATTAGAGACACAAACAGTTTTGGAGAGAGTTTCTATTTTCCTATCTTAAAGTAAAGAAGTGTCTGCCGATTGCAAACTGCTCAGCACACTGATGAGAACATGTAAAAACTATGACATGACATTATTTCAAGTAATGTGAGTCGATTTTTTATATACTTTGGACAGTAACGTTAGGCTGTGCAGAAAAGTAAATTACAACAGCACAATGATGAAAGGCAAGACATTTTTTGACACATCCCACTGAAGACAATGGAGGTAGAGCTGGATGATGTCCATGACTTTAAGTTCAAGTACCTTGGCACATGGATCAACGCTTGTGACCAGGACATCAAAGGAAAGGAAAGGCAGGAAAGGAAAGGCATGGAGGGCACTGGCTGACATGAACAAAGCGTGGAGCTCCACCATAAGCCGCAACGTTGAAAGATTTCTTTCTTCTTGGCAAGACATTTTTGGACAATGCTTTTATGTTATTAAGAACGCAGTACAATCACTAACAAAACAACAACAAAAACAGTACATTACAAATAACTGAGACCTGCAGATTTCTGATCTGATGGACTGTTTATTATCACAATTAGAAGGAATGGCAATTTACAAACATTACCATGATTACCAGAAAAATCAGTGATAGTTGATCTGAGTTAAGTTTGTAAAAGATACAATGATTAGAGACACAAACAGTTTCGGAGAGAGTTTCCATTTTCCTATCTTCAGAGTAAAGAAGTGTCCGCTGATTGCAAACTGCTTTACATATAAGCGACATACCGGTACATGTATACAGTATGAAGAAGTTATAACAAGCTTATTTGTCTTTGCAGGTGGGGGATGTATTTCTTTTATTCAAAGCAAAAAGGTACATACAAATAACTCACGAAAAATGATACACTAACACATGGTGTACAATTAGAGTCAGTTGGTTTTTTTTTTTAATTATTTTTATTTAATCATTTATGTCTCTGTAATGCCCCAAATTGGGGTCTTGGGCTTTTGAAGGCTTGACCTTAGGGGAGATGAAACAAACTTCTCACAGACTTTTGACAGGACTGAGACAAAATAACAAGGAAGTACTAGTATTTATGGACATGGACACAGACTTTTTGTGTCTGATTTCTTTTGATTCTGGAATAATTAATTGTATTTATTTTATTGGAACTCATGTTTGTCTTCAAATACAATCAGTAGTTCCGAGCACAACTCATGAACTGATGACCACGTCA